TTACTGGTCTGATAGAGATTGGTAAAACCCCCAAGACTATGGGCTCTAGTCACCCTTCAGGCCTGTAATTGAACTCACTTCTGTGGTTTCTAGCCAAACAACAGACAGGCGTATAAGATGAACACTTACACCAAGTAGGTGCACTCCTTAGAATGATCAATGATGAGAGATCAGAAGGGCAGTATGTGCCCAGGGAGATAGCTCAGAGGGCAGAAATGCATAGCAAAGAACAACACAGGGAAAAGGTAACCACAGGGAGGAAGTGGGAAGAGAGCTGTTGCATTGTGGAGATGATAATCAATGTCATATAACAAACTGTATATGAACTGCTGTATGGAAAATGAATTTGTTCTGTAAACTTTCACCCAAATCACAATTAAAAAAAAAAAAAAGCATTAACTTTTCTTCCATCCTTCTTATTGTGGTGTAGTAAATTACCTGGTATGGCTTTTCTAACCATAAGTCTTTGTAAACTCCATGGTGGAATTCGCTGTGAGCAACTGAGTAGCTCCTGATTGTTAAAGTTATTGACCTGGGGTATTTCTGTTAGAAGCAGCACAAAGTAATTTTCTGCAAAGTTCTCTCTCTCAGGTGTATAGAATTCTGATGTTGGGATTGGTTAGTTGACACTCTGCCAGTCTCAGACGGAGCCCTTCTAGAGGGAGGACTTCTCTCTGACTGCTGGCTGAGAAAGATGTGCTGCTGAGAGAAACACACTCCTGAGAGACACGCACTGCTGAGAGAGAGGCACCGAGAGACATGCATTGCTGAGAGAGAGACACCGAGAGACACGCACTGCTGGGAGAGAGACTGAGAGAAACTGTTGTCTAAGAGATGGCAGGCTGAGAGAGACTGAGCATTGTTCCTGAACCTGAATTGTAGTCTGGTGCTTCCCTAATAAACCCCATAATTTGTGAGTTCTGTGTGGCCACTGCAAAGAATTATTGAACCCAGCAGAAAGGTGGTGAGTGCTGCAGGAGGAATGGTTGGTGTCAGGGTTGATGAAAGGACTGGAGGGAGGCAGCATGTCTGGCCTCACAGGAATATGCCTTGGGCTACTAATGGTGATTCTGTCTTCCTCTTGTGAGGTTAGAGGAGGTCAGAAGATGAGGCTCCCTGCCCCTTTGGCACTTATTCATTGTCCAGCTTTCACATGCATATGCAGTGATTGAAAGCACCATGGCTTGGGTTAGTTGCACCTTCATCTTCAAAGTGGTATCTTTGCTCCTTAAAACTTTAAAGAGAACTTTTGCAGCAGATTTGTCCAGTACATCTTTTTTTTTTTTTTTTTTTTCTTTTTTAAATTGTGATTTGGGCCAAAATTTACAGAGCAAATTCACTTTCCATACAGCAGTTTACATACATTTTGTCTCATGATATTGACCACAATTTACCACAGTGCAACAGCTCCCCTCCCACTTCCTCCCGATAGTTACCTCTTCCCTGGTCCATCCCTCCATCCAGTGCAATACATCTGATTTCTTGACTGCTGCTTCCATGGGTGTTAACTGTGGATCCAACTAAAATGAAATCCCTGATAACATCAATATTTTCTCCATTTATCATGATGTTTATTGGTTCAATTGTGAGGATTTTTGTTTCAAGTGAGATATAATCAATGTTGTATTTTGGCACTTGTGGACTTATTTAAATCTTCTTCAGCTTCAACTGAACTTGCATATGAGCAATTGATGGCCTGTCTCACAGTCATCTCTTGGCCTTGTTTTGACTGATGATGTTGAGCTCCTCCATTGCCTCTTTCCACAGGTGTAGTCAATCTGAGTGGTATGTATTCCATCTTGCAAGATCCATGTGTATAGCCACTGTTTAAGCTGCTAGTATTTGCAATGAATAAGTCATTGGTCTTACAAAATTCTATCATGCAATCTCCAACATCATTTCTATCACCATGGCCATGTTTCCAACTACCAGTGATTCTTCTCTGTTTCCAGCTTTCACATCCCAATCACCATTAATAATCATGATTGCATGTTTGGTCAATTTCAGGCTGCAGAAGTTGGTAAAAATCTTCTATGTTTCACCTTTGGCTTTAGTGGTTGGTGTGGAAATTTGAATAATAGTAGTCTTGACTGGTCTTCCTTGTAGACATATGGATATTATCCTATCACCAACAGCATCGTACTTCAGAATAGATCTTGAAATGTTCTTTTTGATGATGAATGTGACACTATTCCTTTTCAATTTGACATTTCTGCCATAGTACATCATATGATTGTCTGATTCAAAATGGCCAATACCAGTCCATTTCAGCTCACTAATGCCTAGGATATTGATCTTTATGTGTTCCATTTCACTTTTGACAACTTCCAATTTTCCTAGATTCATACCTCGTACAGTCCATGTTCTGATTATTAATGAATGTTTGCAGCTGTTTCTCCCCATTTTGAGTCAAGCTCCATCATCCAATGAAGGTCCTGAAAGCTTTACTTCATCCAAAGTAGAGTCCGACTCTACTTTGGGGAGGCAGCTCCTCTCCAATCATATTATTTTGAATGGCTTCCAATATGAAGGGCTCATCTTCAGGCACTATATCGGACAGGGCTTCATTAGTATTCATGAGGTTTTCAGTGGCCAATTTTTTCAGAACTGGATGGCCCAGTCCTTTTTCCCAGTCTGTCTTAGTTGAGACGCTTCGCTGAAACCTGTCCACCATGGGTGACCTCGCTGGTATTTGAAATGCTGGTGGCATAGTCTCCAGCCTCACAGCCACAAGCAAGCCACTGTGACACTGATGAAGTGTCCAGAAACCAAACCAAAACCAAACACACTGCCGTCGAGTCGGTCCGGGCTCATAGCAACCCCTCCTTGGGTTTCTGAGGCGGTATCACTACTGAAGTAGATCCCCCCACCTTCCTTCTGAGGAGTGGCTGGAGGATTTGAACCATCAGCCTTCTGGTAAGCAGTCAAATGCCTTAGGCACTATGCCACCAGAGCACCTAGATACATATACATATATACATATATGTCTATATATATATATGTACATATAGACATTGTCTATATAATCTAGTTATATTGATTGATCTTCTAAAGTCAAACCAACCCTGTATTCTTAGAATAAATCCAACTTGGTCTTGATATATAATCTTTACTATATATTGCTGGATTTGGTTTGCTGACATTTTCTTTGGGATTTTTCCATCCTTGTTGAGCAAATTTGGCTGGCAATTTTCACTTTTTATCTGTTTTTTTTTTTTTTTTTTTTTTTGCATCAGGGTTATGCTAATCAGGAGTGTCCTCCCTTTTTCTATTTGTTGGTATACAGAATATGCCATTTAAAAATGAAGAACTGAAAAGACAATACATTTTCAAAAGTCTCTCTTATGTGCAAGCACTGTTAAGGGGCCACAGCAAAGAACAGAAAAGGATGTTAAAAATAAATGACATTTTTAAACAGTTGGTCTCAAAGGGCCTGGTTTAGAAATAGTAACAGTGATATGACAGGCCTTTTACATTATTTCTTTTAATTCTCTCAACAGTACCATTATTACTGTTTTAAAAATGAGGAGACTGAGTTTTAGACTAGTTAAGTAACTTTTCTCCAGTCCCACAACCACTATGTGTCAAAGATAAAATCTGAGCATGGTTGATTCCAGAGACTGAGCTTAACCATCCCTCCTCCCTTCTTTGTCCTCTCTCAATGCAGGAATCCAGGGCGTTTTGAAGGCCTTGCATATACTTGCTAACAGTAACAACCCATGAGTCTGCAGCCAAAGTAAATGTAGCTCTGTTCCAAAGTACTGAAATAATAAAAATTCTAAACATCTGAGCTTCATTACTAAAGGTTGGTAATGATTCAAAATATACCAGTTGAGGAAATCAAATCAAGAAAATGGAATAAAGACAAGAATGAGATCACTTATAGAGGTAAAGTTTTAAATATAAATAATAAATGTTCATGGAGAAAATTTGTAAAATACATAGTATTCCATCCAACAAATTGGCCTTCACTGCTAAATTTTGGAGTATTTCCTTCCTATCCTATGAATGGAGCATACTCTGTTTATTAATTCTAGACACACAGTTTCACCAGTTAACAACTATGTTATAGAAGTATATTTTAGAATGACTAGTCTTAAAATCAGTCAATGTTACAAAAAAAAAAAAAAAAATGCTGTCTACCTGATTAAGGCCCATTTCTGTCAAGGAATTGACGTTTGCTTCTTCTTGAGGTCACTACAAACTGTGACCACTATAAATTCTCTTTGTTTAAAGCTTTATGGTCCAGGCTTGTTTGTGGAAATTGAGACCACAACCCAATGAGCACCAGCTAGTTTCTTTGCTGTCCCCTTCCACAGACAGGTCTCATTTACCCTTTTAGGTCGTCTAGCTTTATGCCAAGGCCTTCTATTAGAAACTACATCCTGGGTGTTTTGTTCTTCTTTCTTTTGGTGCAACAGAAAATAATGGTGCTTCTTCCAACTGACAGTGTATTTATATGAAATACATGGTGTTTGAGGTAATGTGGACTCTTACATTACATAGATAATATTTTCTACTTCTTAAATATTCTTCAAAGACATTATTTTAATGATTGTCAAGGATTCCATCATATGAACCCCAAGGCTTCAAACTGGTTCAATCCAGCTTGACCCCATGCTGAGAATTTTCATTTCTACCCCAAATATACTGATTTATAATCTATATTTTAACAAAATCCCCAGGGGATTTTTATAGATTCTGATTCAGTATATCTGGGGTAGAAATGAAAATTCATAGCAGGCATTCAAACCAGAATGAACCAGTTCAAAGCTCTGGATTTTTAATTATTTATTCTCATATTTATAGATTTTGCTTACTTCTTATTTTTATCACAGTATACATATTTATAGGTTTGTTGTTGTTGTTGTTGTTATGTGCCGTCCAGTCGGCCCCGACTCATAGCGACCCCTCCTTGGGTTTCCGAGGCAGTATCACTACGGAAGTAGGATTGCCCAACCTTCCTTCCGAGGAGTGGCTTAGGTTGGTTTTATTTTTTATCACAGCATAAAGCTGTGAACATTATGTTCACATATCTTCATGTCATCTATTATAATTTCTTCAGGATAAACTCCTAAAAATTAAAACATTATGTCAAAGTGTATGAACATTAATTTTTTTTGTTATGTATTATTCCTAAGTTGGCCTGCAGAAATGTCCATCACTTTCGCCCAAAACCAACATCATGTCAGGGGCCTAGCTTTACCAAACTCAAGCCAAATCTATCAAACCTTATATGTAAAATTAATTTCTCAATTACTGATCATTTGCATTTATTTCTATGACTAGATGCTTCATGTATTTGTTGGCCATTTGCAGCTTTTTGTGAATCACCTCTTGATGTCATTCAACTTTTTAATTGGGTTGTTAGTTTTTTTGTTCAAGTAATTTCTACTTTTAGATTATTGCAAATCATACAAGCTACCAATTATTTTTCCATGTCCTCATTTTCTTTTCATTTGTTCTCAGAATTTTATGTACTAATAAATTTTTACTATAATCGAAACGTAACATTTTTTGATTTGTTATTGCACTCAGTCCTCTATCGATTAAGTCTTCTGATTTTTCTTTTGTATTTTATGACTTTATTTCTCAACTCTTTGTTCCACCTAGAATTTATCTGGCATATTAACAAATAAAAGGAGGAGTGTTAACAAATAAAAGAGTGTTCAATAAAATTTGAAGACTGATATTAATATACATATATTGATAAGACAAAAAACAAAAAACAAAACCCACTGCAGTCAAGTCAATTCTGACTCATAGCAACCCCATTGGGTTTCTGAGGCGGTAAATCTTTACGGAAGTAGATTGCCTGCCCAGTCTTGCTTCCATGGAGTGGCTGGTGGGTTTTAACCACCAACCTTCTGGTTAGCAGTCAGATGCCTCAGGCACTGTGTTACCAGAGCTCCTTAGATATATTGATATCTAATATTAAGTATTACAATAGAATTGGAGTGAATTGTCAGAAAAAAATGTCTAATTTGACCCTTCATCTATTTTCTGCTGGGATCTGTTCCCAAAACCAAATGGCTGAATAATGATATTATTGATACTCTCATTGCCAGTTGATTGCTCAGAAAAGTGCTTCCCAACCTTCTTTCATTTCATAGCACTCAAAGAAAAGGATAATAGTTATATTATACTGTGTACTAGTTAAACGGAAGCAGCTGTGTATAGCCGGCCAGAGGCAGCTTGAGCGCCTTGAGCTCCGCTACTCCAAGTCCTACTGCCACTCTAAGGCCTAATGTCTCAGTACATCCATAACCTATTTGTAACACACCAACTGGAAAGTTTTGTTCCAGTAGCTGTCATTTACTTTGTTCTGATAGGATCTCTGCTCATTGATACGTTACTAAGATTCTATATAATAGAAGCTGGTGGTTTTAACAATGTAGAGGAACCTGACTGAGACTGTCAAATAAAATAAGAGCATCAGAAAATAAGCAACCTTAATTAATAAAAATAGGCATCAGGAAACCATCCTCCTGCCCCTTTTATCCTATGTTTTGACACAGTAAGGAGACTGAACTTCAAGTAGACAACTAAAAGTCCTCAGCAATAAATATTTAAAGCCATTGTTGTTATTGTTGT